TTTACTCCATTTTCTCTAAAACCTTAAAATTACATGCTTTCTTGCAATTAATTCATATCCATGAAGTTATGAAATTTCAAGAACAATTCATAAGATTTCTAAGCTAGCCACCAAACTACTATCTCTCTTGACCAAAATTCAACCCACACATAAAAATCCCATTCTTTTTATTTTTTATGCAACAACACTAATTATTCTCATACACCCACGTAAGCATTATGTTAATTTTTCATAGAGCACCCATGGTACTTCACAATCACCATAAGCATAACATTTAACCCACATGCAATACCCAAATACATACACTAGAATAGTATAGAGGAGAAAAAGTAGATTACATAACTAAGCTTACCACTTGTATCCACTTCCTTCACCACCAAGCACCACCACTAATCTTCCACCATTAAGCCCACCACCAAGCTCAACCATTTTCCCCTCCTAGTCTTGGCCGAGATTCTCAAGTGGAGAGTGTTTTTTTTTCTATGTTTGCCTTCCTTAGCTGAACTTAAAGTGAGCTCTCTCTCCCGTTTTTTTTTCTCCCAAGTGTAATCCTTTACCCACTTGCATGAGTGGAGTCCCATCTCTCCCTTTTTAACCGTCACGTACTCCCCCAATTTAATCTCATCCACAAGATGTCTTCAAGTGGAGAAGCCATCATGTGAAAAGTCATTATGTTTTGATATATATATATATCCTTGTCTTTGTTTTGATATATAAGTGTATATATCATCCACAAAATCTTCATAGTGGAGAGTCCACTATGTGTCTCTCTCTATATATATCTATCTTCATAGTGGAGAGTCCACTATGTGTCTCTCTCTATATATATCTATCTGTATACATATATTTCTAATGGAAAGTCCATGATGGCTATGTCACTACATGTGTATAGACACCTATTTTTATATAGACACACACACACACATATATATATACCTAAATCGATAATAACCCATTAATTTATATTACTAACTTTAATCCACTTCTTGGATATACTAACTCATTTATTTTTAAAATAACAATAAGTTGATGTCACATATTTGCCACCTATTTAATTTCACATGCACTAACGTACACAAAATAGTAAAATCATATCACATGTAAACATACTTATTTAATTTTTTTTTTTCACAATTAAACAAAACAATTCCTCTATGGTCATTCAATCCCATTAATTCCCATACATTATTCATAAGCTCCTTATAACTATTTAAATTTCAATTGTACATGTTCAGTTCTCGTATCAATATTTTTAATTAAATAATGATTACCAACCATGCGCATGCATATCATATGTTAATATGATTACAATAAATATTTTTACCGAGATCAACACGCTATCCCTCGTATTCCCAATACCTCACTTTTTAATTTATGGACTAAAGTTTGACTGTCACTAGATTATTTAACATTCAAATTCATAATATTAAAATGCCTATTGTGCATTCTCGGGTCTCACATCATAGATGCCGAGACGACACCACAAAGTACTCTTGGCTACCTTGACATGAGCAACCCATGATATCAAATTAGGGCAAAAGGCCTTCCATGCACGAATAAGGTTATCGCTGAGCCAATTTGCCCAATTGAAGGGGCTCTTGAAAGTTAAAAGGTATAGACATATGACAATTGGGGTAGATGGGTTGAACTTCATCTAGAGGGCATATCTTTCAAAGCAAGCTTAAGGTCCATTCAAAAGAGCCGCTTCAAGAATAACCAGTATGAGGAAACTCCATTGAAGAAGAAGAAGAGAAGGTTAGAATAGTAACAAAACAACAGGTCTGAGGACGGATTATATAGGCACACATAACGAGCTGTTATAATGATTAAAAGATATGGATGGATCGTGTGCCAGCTGTTTCATACAAATTTGAAAATAAGAAGTATAGACTGAGGAATTTCATGTAGAAGATTGGCCGTAATCCCTAAGCTTCACGGACAATGACGGGATGATAGCCAAGCAAGGAAACATTATTGGCAAAAGCTTAAATTCAAAAGAGTAAAAATGACACTCCAAATATGAAGCATTCACTCGCATCATTTTTTTTTTTTGGGGGAGGAG